ATTTCCTAGCTAATAAAATAGATTGATTGAATCAAGATTTTCGCAAATATCAACGAAAATGCGCATTTTAGGATGCGATTTGACGGGACTAACTACTGGGTAAAAATGGTGCTTACACTCGCAATTTTTTGACAGCTGATTGCTCTCAAAGGTCTTTGAAAAGTCTTTGAAAATAGGCAGAAAAAATCTTTGAAAGTCTTTGAATTTTTTTGGTCTTGGAGACTACGAACCCTGTAAGGGGAATGTTGTGGGTGTGTCTTTAGTGTTTTCCCTGAAAACAAGATATTTCCTTCTTAGCATGGGATCCTGCCTCATTTTGGTTCACATGAAATTAAATCTTGATGTCAGGGAACACAGGTTTAGCGTAGGATTTAAGGTGACTCTTCTTTAAGAATCCTTTCTAAAGGTTAACCTAAGACAAAAACTTCAATCTTATATTAAAGCTTATACGGTACCACTGACAATATATGATGGGGACATTTTTGGGACAGCCTTGTACACTGGCAAAACCTAGAAAAAGATCTACAAGATGACCAGCATTTGAGGAAAAATTGAAATACAGTTCAATAGAATGCAGTTTATTATTTTCAAAAATCAGAAGATGAAGCAGAATTATTTACAACAATATCAATATTTTTCTAATTCCTCAGGTCCTTTGCTCTAACTTTTTGCTTTTTGATATTCCCCCTTGACGTCTGTGTTGAGACTATCTAAGCAAGTTCATCTATGTGTATAAAATAATGTTTCAGCTAAAATTTTCCAACAACATTTTTGCAATTGGAACAATAACCTTTTGTCGCCTTTTTTTCAATTTTTGGATAACTTCCATGTAAACATATGACATGTAATCATAGAATGAAACAATGGTAACCAAGCATTTAAATTATATACATTGATGTGAGTGATCTGGTTGCCGTTGGACAAATGTTTAATCAAATGTTTAATCAAATGTTTAATCAAGTGTTTAATAGCTGAGCAGGCGTATCAGTAGATTCAGTTCAGAATTCTGTCAAGTCAAGAAACTCAAATTTTACCAAGTTCATTTCCATTGGGTAGTTTATCATAGTCATTGCTTACTTCTAAACCTTCATAAATATTCACGTTTGGTTCTCCGATGTTTGGAAAAGATTTGCTTGGCTTCGGTTTTGTTGTGCGTGGGGAGTAATAGTACACAAATCCAACAATAATAATGGATACAGGCAAAACGGCGAGAAACCCTAGCCAGTATAGTTTCTTTCCATTCTGGTTCCCAGAGGGTGGGTGCACAGCTTTAGCAATTAAAACGGTTTCACTCAAACTACTGCAGCCTTGAGAATTACACACGGACATTTGAGCAAAATAATTATGCCTCTTGTGAAGGCCTTTAACTGTCACTTGACATGAAGTTAAATTGATAGGGAAGTCTTTCCGAAATGGATCAGTGTTACTTTGATTCCAGTAATTAATCACCAGGCTAGTCAGCAAACCATTTCGCGTGTTTTCCTTCGGTAACTCGCAGTTTACCGTCACCGTTCGCGTGTCGTTGGCGTAGCTCGTTGTTCCGCATGTTTTGAAATCGCAGGTTATTGTAGGAGGCATACTCGGCGATTTTTCCGGGAATCTTGTTGAATTACACAAAGGTTCTGACCTCAAGCTTCCTGCACTAACCAAGTTTGTAAGGCAGAACTCACATAAAATATACGGTGCGAAGTTCGCGTCGTGAATAGATGCACTCGCTTCTTCGTATGTTTTGCTTGAATTTGCGCCATTACTGCATGTGTAGTCAATTTGGTACTCGTGGAATATAGTGAATTTAGTGTTTTCCCAATTTAATACGACTTTCTATTGTACAAGGAAAAATTAAAGGCACACAGTTAGTTTTACGAGTGTTAGGAAATGTGCACTAATTACGATAGTGGGGAAGGTTTAGGTGGGAAGGGTTAGGAGGTTAGGTGGGGAACGGTTAGGTGGGGAAGGGTTAGGTGGGGAAGGGTTAGGTGGTTAGGTGGGGAAGGGTTAGGATGGTAGGTGGAGAAGGGTTAGGAGTTTAGGTGGGGAAGGGTAATTTGGTACTCTTCCTGAGATTTACTGTTTTCCCAATTTAATACGACTTTCTATTGTACAAGGAAAAATTAAAGGCACACAGTTAGTTTTATGAGTGTTAGGAAATGTGCACTAATTACGATAGTGGGGAAGGTTTAGGTGGGAAAGGGTTAGGAGGTTAGGTCAGGAGGTTAGATGGGGAAGGGTTAGTAGGGTAGCTGGGGAAGGGTTAGGGGGAATTGGCCCTTTGTTCTCCATGCCATCCAGTGAGCTATTACAACATCCTAGACAGTTCCAAAGTCCTTTCCAGATCCTTCTATTGCGCGCTTCATGGTCGACTTGTGCAAGTCTAGCAACATCCCTGCATTTCCTTACAAGTATAGTTGACCTAGTCAAACGTTGAATTGATTTTTACTCAGTGTTGTGTTGTTTGTGTGAAAAGATGAACTGCAACATATAGCAACGTTGTTTATTCTAACGTGAAACTTTCATGCTTGTCATAAAAAATACTCGTCCCAAACAAGAAATTTCACATGAGAATATACAATGTTTTATCTGCGACCGTTCATTGTTGGGGGCAAAGGATAGTGTCATACCTGTTCTATCGCTGCTATAATAAGATACCTGGGCTTTGCTCCCATCAATACTACGGTAAAGTATCCCTGATCTGCATAGTGGGATATCGGCCCATCAACAGATTGTTTGGTGGAAATCCGGAAGTCAGTGCTTACTGAATTGGATCCATCTCCGGTTGTTGACTGAATATAAAACTTATAGTCTGCGTAATAATTAATATAGTCTGTAGTGAATGCTTGACAAATAAGACCGCTAGAGTTTGGAATTCCGTATACGTTGCTTTCGCGAAGTGAACAGCTAAATATAACACTTCTAAACACCGGGCATGAATAATTTTCTGCGAGTCCGGGGTCATATTTGTTAACATAGCAGTAGCTTAGGCTGTAACTAACTTCACCGATATTGGTTGTTGGTCGTACGTAAAATTCCAAACGCCTTGTGTAGCCCGATAATGGTATAAGACGTAAACCAAGCAATTCTGAGCCGACTTCAGGCAGTGTTATATTGACTGATACATTATTAACCCAAGTTGCAATCGAACCCGCGTAATTTGCGACAGTTCCGTAACACGAGACGTCTTTCGTAAAGTTGTACGGGTATATAACCGCTTGGAATAACCGCTTCGCTGTCTGAGCTTTGAAGTCCTGCTCGTTTTCTCTCCAAAATGAGCTAAAATTTTGTTTCGACGATAAATGTGTGACCATAGACTTCGAATTTAATTTTAACTTTTGCCATTTCGAAGTACAGATTAGTTTACTTTCGACTTCCGCCCGCGTGTTTGTAAGACCGTCTTGAAAATTTGTACAGATCACGACAGCAACTAAAGAGATTATACCATATGTCGCTGTCATTAGGGTTCTTTTGGTTATCCTTGTAAGAATATGTCTTTATCGAGTTCAGAATTGCTGCGTTCTTTCGCAGTTTGATTCAGCACACGGAGACAACAATTCAAGACAGAATGACAAGTGCTTACCATATTTAGAAGTTGAAGCTATTCAAAATGCAAATACAACCAAGCGAGGCTAATTAAATTCACTTTGTCGCACAGTTTCAATGTAAATAATTACAAAGATATGCCCTTTTACTTTATATTTCACTGAGACAAGCCCCAGCATGAACTATTTTATGTACTTTTCCTGGAAATTTGATACCTTTCGCTTTCGGGTCAAATATTGTAGCGACATGCAATTCAAAATAGAAAATGAATAATTGAACAGCCTTGACTACTGAGCTATTTAAGCTTGCAATATTTTGTACACCAATGGATTTTATGTTTGTATTAACAGATTAATAAGACTTCTTAGCGTGTTTCAGGTGCAAAAATGCTATTCAGTTTCGGTCACAAAATCGAGGCGAAGACGGTTTATTAAAATGTACATAAAGGAATATTTAAACCTGTCTTTGATCTTTGTTTATACGAAAGTGGTCTGTAGTATATGTGTAGTTTGTGGGTACTCAGCACGACAGCACTATCAGTTCCAAACTGTTCAATCCAAATATGTCAACCGTTGCTACAGGGCCCTGCAGAAGGAAACCTAAACTAAGCTAATTTTATTTATCTTACCTCTAGTATCAGTTCTAAACTGTTCTCCACATAGAGGTCCATTTAAGGTCCTCTCCTATTGGTCATGCATGTATTACTAAAAGAGGAAACCTAAACTAAACTAACTATATTTCTACTGGATAGCTCTATCGGTTCTAGAATATTTTACCTAGACATCTAGTAATGTCATCTCTAATTGGTCCAGTGTTGCTACAGAAGGAAACAGCAAATCAGAAAACTTGCCTACACATTGAATGTCAAGGTGTTGCAACATTCGACTCCAAAAGTGCTTCACCGTTTCTGGTGACAATAATTTTACAGTGTGAAAAATAAACTTTGTTTGTTTGTTTTTTTGCACAGACCGGAAGACTTTCAGTGGAAGAGGCGATGTCCTTTGCGGAATCAACAGGTTTAACCTCGAATGTAAAAGATCAAGAAGAGAACACGACATATAACTTTGGAGTTTATAAACACACGAAGGACCGGTCTCGCACTGAACGTTACATCTTGCAGTTTGATTTTAACGAGCAAGCTTTATCCACTATCCAGAAAGGAAAATTTGGCAAGAAAATTCCGTTTGATGAAATTCGTGACTACGTGACTACGATAGCGAGGTCAGTAAAGCCGTTTTCCCATTATGGTTGCTTTGCCTAGGAAACGAAACTACGACGTTTTAAGCCCGTTCTACACTAGGCGAATTTTTTCGCGCGACGCGAAAAACAAATCTTGGCAATGTGATTGGTCAGCGAAAAAATTCGCCGCGAAAAAGTTGGATCAGTTCCTACTTTTTTACTGTTCGCGCGAACAAATTCGCCTAGTGGAGAACGGGCTTTAGGCAAAGGTCGTTCGTCGACTAACTTCCCGTTGAAGGCAGTGGACTAGACTTCAAGTCCGCGAATTTGACCAAGTCCGAGGCGAAGCCGAGGACTGGGTCAAAATGCGAGGACTTGAAATCTAGTCCAGTCCGAATTGACCATTTGCGTAATAGACTAAATTTTGAACTAAACAAGTCTAGACAAAAATTTCATCACAGCTTGAAGGAGCATCACAAAATTAGTAATATTCCAAAGTTTCGTTGCAAAATGTTGTAAAATGCGGAAAATATAG